GAAAGGAATGCATCTCAACATGGAATGCAGATTGTAGGGAGTAGCTAAAAGGAAAGGTTTTATTAGCGAGCAATCTGAACATGATATTCCTGTAAATTCCGATATTAAAATGGAATATGGAAGTTCTTTATTATGATGCATATATGTGAAATAATGTTGAGCAAGCAGGGCTGTGTAGTCGGAGTCGGGCAGATTTTGGGGTAAAAGGAGTCAGAGCTGCAGTCACTAAAAACAGGTCGACTCTAACTCCCGACTCCAGTTTTTGTTATACAGTTTGAATTTGAAATGCAATTAAAATAAATTTTAAAAAATAATGAAAAGCTGAGTTATTATTTTTATTTATGGACTTTTTATTATTTTTATTGACATATCAATAAATAAATATAAGGGAGGAGGATGGATGTGATACTGCCATTAGTGATTAAACTGATTTATTTAGTAACAAATTTCACTGGTAAATTTAGGTAAGCAGCAATAGAAGCAATAACTCCCAAAATTGATGCCATTCTTAAGAAGCGAGCAGCAAAAGGAGCAATTATTGATCGAATAACGAGATAAGGAAGAACATATTTGATGATAAAGAGGTTGTTAGAATTAAGAACGTTTTTAGAAGGTGTAGATAACCCTAATGTTTCACTACAAAAAGACCATGGAATGATCTTACAGAATTGGAAACTCTTCTTTCTAACCCATATATAGCCACAAAAAAGCTGCAATATGAAGAATTGACAGGAGGCGAGAATGGAAGAATGTAATGTTTGTTCTTTTTGAAAAGGAGGGTTTATTGCAGAAGGAATCATTTCTTCCATGAAGAAAAGACAAACTAGTTTGCTAGACAATGAGATCTTGCTCTGTTCAATATATGTAGATTCGAAACACTGAATTTTCTTGGATGACAAACAAATTAAAAAGGCCAAGAAAACCATCCATGAACTTCATTAAGAATGAAATTATTCTCAGAACGATTAGAGAATTCAAATCAGGACAGTCAAATTGCAGATATTGCATTTGAGTCTCTATCATCCTCTTCCAGTGATGAATTAAGATTTTTAGAAATATTTTTGGATAATATTGAAAAGGATAAGGCAAAGCGAATGAAAATAAAGAACCAAGAACCTTTAGATATAAAAATGAAAAAATGCAAACAAGATTTTTACATGTGAAGTAACAGATAAATATGATTGCTCTTGCAAGACACCTCTTTTAGAACTTATAAAAATCTATCCTGAAAAGTTAAAAGAAGTAGCCCTAACAGTAACAGCTCTTCCTCCTAATCAAGTTAGTGTAGAAAGACTCTTCTCAGCTCAAAGTTATCAAATTGGATCTATGGCCCTACAACAAAGAAGATCTAGCTGAAGCTATACCGTTACTTAGAAATAACTAATGCCAGTTTTTCCATTTCATAATAAATGCCAATTAATATAAATAATTTGCTATGCCATCAATTCTTTTCTGTAGCATCTATTACTTATTTTATATTAAAAAAATAAGCTGTAACCCATGTGTATATGTTTGCATATATATATATATATATATATGAGTGAGTTGGAGTCGAGTCAGAGTCTTTAAAGTTCCAGTAGTTGGACTCGGTCATTTTCCCTACTGACTCCACAGCCTTGTGAGCAAGGGCTTACTGCATATTTAAATTTATATACTGTTATTTTTTTAATTACATAGTACCTCAAACAACAAACAAATACAACAGTCTTGTTATTTGGGATCATGTACTGCACTCTTAACATAGATATCAAAAACTGTAATAACAGATTTTAAATTAAATGCATTCTGGAAAAATTTAAAATATTTAATATTTCCCTTTTTGCAGTCAAAAAATGGAACTCCTGATTTATTTTAAATACCATAAATTTACAGTATGTAACTACTATTAGCAAATTACGGAACTATTACAAATGGATATGAATTAGATTTGAAAACATGACCCATTTTCAATTTTAATTTAGCAATCTGGAACCCAGAGCTATGGTAGGGGCCAAAAATGGTGAACAAATGCTTAAGAGCTGCAAGTATAGCTTAAATTTTGTGTAGCATAAGAAAATGCAGTAAAATTCTAGAAACAAATTTGAATGTACTTGCCCAAATCATGAGATCATAACACAGAGTAGTGGAGGAAGATCATATTGCTCAAAGAACTCCATTTTTTCCTCCAATCTGCTATTTACATTGCATGAAATAGATATTCATTATTTACCTAAGATAATAAAATGAATTCAGCCAGATGACTGCCATACCTACTTCACAGAAACCAAAGTGACCGATTACAAATTACAGATTACTCACATTAACCCTCAATTTTGAAATGATATTATTACCATACTATGCTAAAATATATTTCCATTTTATTGTGGTTATCTGTAGGTTTCACAGTGAGGAGTTTCTATTGTCAATTTCCTCATCCAATCCTGATTATCATTAAAGAGTAAACCTTTCTCTTTTCTTCTAAAACAGAGGGGTTTTCTATTTTATATTTCATTTCCTAAGTCAGTATGGAAATTAATTGAGGCTGGCTGCTGGAAACTGAAGGCATGGGTCTGATTTTGATATAAGATTTGGTTGTTTGCGCCAAAATAATGACCCTCCTTCCTTCTCAACACGGTTAACAGCTGACCTTATTCTGCAACATAAGCAAGGTTCTCAGTTAAGAAATATTTGAATAGATGAGGAGATGGTCATATTTCGTGGCTTCATTTTTTCCTCCAATCTGCTATTTACATTGCATGAAATAGATATTCATTATTTACCTAAGATAATAAAATGAATTCAGCCAGATGACTGCCATACCCACTTCACAGAAACCAAAGTGACTGATTACAAATTACAGATTACTCATATTAACCCTCAATTTTGAAACAATATTATTACCATAATCCTGATTATCATCAAAGAGCAAACCTTTCTCTTTCCTTCTAAAACAGAGAGGTTTTCTATTTTATATTCCATCTCCTAAATCAGTATGGCAATTAATTGAGACTGGCTGCTGGAAACTGAGGGCATGGGTCTGATTTTGATATAAGATTTGGTTGTTTGCGCCAAAATAATGACCGTCCTTCTTTCTCGACACGGTTGACAGCTGACCTTATTCTGCAACATAGGCAAGGTTCTAAGTTAAGAAATGTTTGAATAGACAAGGAGATGGCCATATTTCGTGGCAAATCCTTAATCAGTTAATGCCTATCCATTAAAAAAAGTATTGTGTTTTGATCAGAGTTTAAAATGCATTTATTAATTCCAACTGTGAATTCTTTAGATATATATTCCAACATTCCAATATTCTTTAGATATAAGTAAGTCAGACAGAAAGTTTGTTGCACTACTGCATAAATATATTCAATTTAAGACTATTTGGATGAAACTGTGTGGCAACACTTCAGACATGTAACTTTATCGCATGACGTAGCGGTTTCCCCGAGGCAAGTTTAGTTTTTCTGATAATCAGTCGCAAACATGTCTCGACAGCTGCAGATGGCGTCCAAATTGGAAAGGCATGCAGTGATTTGTTTTTTGTGGGCAGAAAGGTGCAACTGCACTGAAATTTATGGGCAGTTGCAGGTGAACTGGATATTTCTCATGGAAGTGCGCATAAAATTATTGCCGATCACCTTAAAATTTCATAAAGTTTGTGCTTGATGGTTCCACGTCTATTGACAGAGGAACATAAAGGAAAGCGTTTTGAAAGTGCATTTGCATTTCTGTAATGTTACCAAAAGGAAGGAAATGAGCTTTTGGACAAAATTGTGACTGGAGATGAAACTTGGATTCACCACTTCTCACCTGAAACGAAACGCAGCTCGCTCGAGTGGAAACATTACAGTTCCCTGACATGAACAAAGTGTTGAACCATTCCATCTGCAGGAAAAGTGGCGATGACGCTGTTTCTCGACAGAGCATGGTGCATATAGAGTTCATCCCGAAGGCGGCCACAATTAATGCATCTTCTTATTGTGAAACACTAAAACAATTGTGGAAATCACTTAATCGCGTAAACTGTCGAAAGGCTTTGTGCTCCTGCATGACAATGCAAGACTGCATGAAGCAAAACAAACGTGCGAACTTCTGAAAAAGTTTAGGTGGGAAGTGTGGAATCACCCTTCTTATAGCCCAGACCTTTCACCTCCTGACTTCCATGTGTTTGGTCCCATGAAACAAGAACTTTCAAAGCGACGATACCATTCGGATGCCGAAGTGAAAGCTGCAGCCCAAAAATGGTTATCGGCCATTGGACGGAATTTCTTTGCAAAAGGCATAAAAAAACTTGTACCACGCCTCAACAAATGGTTAAATAACAGAGGTAATTACGTTGAAAAGTTGATTTTGAATGGAACTTTAAATAAAGTTATTGTAAAATTCTGCTCCTGTTTTTTTTCTTAGGCAGTGCAACTAACTTTTTGACTGACCCTCGTATATTCCAACTATGATTTCTTTAGATATCTAAACTTTAAAATATTAAATTGCTTACAAAAACTCTTTCACGTAATCATTCATTTTATGTTGACAGACTCCACATAATTACAAATTGCCAATAATTCACAAAAGAAATCCTAAAATACATTATTTGACAGAACTAGAAAGATATCAGACATAATAAGATAAAATTTAGCATATATTTCTGAATATAAGCCAATCTATGTTTAAGCAGACAGGCAAAATTTTGCTGCAAAAATTTCGCAAAAATCAAAAACCTCCATATCAGACAAAGTTGAAACTGCCTTATAAATCCAACTACATATCCAAATAAGAGAGAGGATTAATTTGCATATACTTTATTTCAGCAGGACTTTGAGGTGCAGTCTTCAGTTGTTGGTGCACACATATGTACATGTGGGAGTGATCAAACTATTTTTATGTATTTTGAACTCGTATAGTATAAGCTGATTTCAGGAGCAAAAAATTTGCTAAAAATTCTTGGCTTATCCACATGGTATGCTTTATAAATGAGAAATATAGAAAATATGCCATTTTGATCTAGATATAAAAGAAAGTACCTTGTAATATTTAGAGCCTTTTAAAATTTCAGCATAAGTACCCTGAAAAAAAGATTAGAAATATCAGTTTCTATTCATTTTTGCTGAATGCAGACTAATTCATAAGTTTATCCTAAAATGCAATTTTTTAGACTAATTAATTATATGCGACTTCTTTTCCTCTCTAAATGCTACTTCATACTTTCATAAAAAAACAGCAAATAAATTGCTTTTTAATTAATCTTAGGGTTCTAATTTCATCACAAAATATTCTTTGTGCAAATTAAGAAAGATTTTCAAAATTAAATAGAATAATTAAATAATAATAATAATTTTAATAAATAATTAAATTAAAATAATTATCTTATTAAACCTTTGAATTCCAATAGAAGATATAAATGAGAAAAGAAACTTTTCTAGCCTGAACTATTTTTTCTAGAATATGACAGGAGGATGAAAAAACACAGAAGCATAAAAGTATGCACCCATTCCACAAATAATTCATAAAACATCAATCAACTATAAATACAAATTTTCAAATAGGAAATGAAACAACAAGAAGCTGTTTTAATGATTCAAATCTATGTAGAATAAAATTACAGGTACTTAAGTAATATCGCAACCATACTTATGCACTTAAGTATTATCACATAAACATTCTTCAGGCAACTGTGCTCCTAACAATTCTTCAGTCAAACAATGTTGCCATTTTCGTACGCATTCATTTTGTTATATTCTGTTTTCCAACAGGTTTTCATAAGGAAACTTTAATACTTTTTTGCCTTAAACACAATTTTAAACTATGCACTTGTGAAGTTTGCGACCACTGGAAGAAACTGCCGGATAGTTTATGCTGGAACTCAGTTTTTTTGCTGTAAAATCACTAAAATGAACAATATAGAGATATTTTTGGTAAATAGCAGGTGCGTACTGCCAAGGCTCTGCATGATGCCATGTTTGCGCAATTCTATGATAAGAAGAGATTCAAAACAGTTTTTCCCTTTAATAATTTTACAAAAAAATACTGTATTCCTGCAGAAATTGTATCGCAGTTCCTTCCAGTACAGGCGAGTCTCAAAAGCACATTTTAAAATTGAATTAAAGATAAAAAATATATTTGTCTACATAAACCTTTCAAATACAAAAAGAAAAATGTATAAGAAAATGGCAATGTTGATTCTCAAAATTGAAGAATGTCATGCTCACGAATGCCTGAAGAATTGTCATATGCAACATTGCCAGAGTTTGAAGCATTTTAAGCTTTGGAAATTTCCGCTCGTGATAATACATAAGAATTCTCGGTTAGAGTATAGTATATTTAAAGGTGCCCCTTGGATTAACGCTATGCTGTTATTTCATATATTGCTAAGTTGTTTAATTTATAGTAACCCGAGTAGTTCAATGTAATATATTTACGGGTGCCCCTTGGCAAAAATTGGCAGTACATGGATATCGAGTTTGTGCAATTGTTTGCTTTGTTATTTTGGCTTTGTGCGGTGCTGATTTTTGGCAAAGCCAAAATAAAAAGTCAGAGAATTGCACAAGATCAGTATCCATGTACACATCGACCTATTTTCACTTGAAAAAACATCAGAGAATTGCACAAATTTGGCACTGCACACTCCCTTTACTTTACTTTGTCCATGTACACATCGATCTATTTTAACTTAAAAATTCAAAGAAGAAGCCAACAAAAAACATACAGTCAAAAGTCGTTAATCCGGACTCCTCGGGACTTCGGCGATTCTGGATTATAGATCATCAGTTTAAATCTGGTAAGATGGCATGCAGAAATTATAAAATTAAAAATATGAAACCGTAATTTATGAAATAAAGAACAAGTATGATCTAAAGGGTATCAAAATTTACAAAAAAAAGCTGAATATTTATTTGTTTACTTTATTAAACATTTCTTTCAATGTAAGTTGTTTAAGTTGCTTCGTTTTTTATGTGATAATACATTCTCTTTAATTCTATAAACAGACATAATTTCTTGTTCAGTTACAAAGTTCCGCTGTTCAAGTCCTATAATTGCTGTGTCTAATGACTAATTTGTCAATTGAAATTTTTTCGTTTTCAATAACTTCTGTCACTTTCTTCACTATCGGATGCAAATTATAATGACGAGGAATTTGATTTAAATCATATCAAAGACGGAGTACATCGAGATGAAATACTACATTTAGTAAAGAATTATAAGCCAAATAAAATAAAAACATCTGCCCTGAAGATAAGGATAGTGCTGACAGATCAACTTCCAATTCATTGCGCTTCCCCGCTGCATTAAATATAAACAAAGTTTAGACTTTGTTTCATTTTTTGCAGCAATTCCACTTTTTGTTTAATGGACTTCGAAACATACTTTCGCTTTGTAGATCCTTTACATATTAGTAAATATATATCAGAAATTCCATTTAACATAATGGTTCAAGCTTACTTTTATAAAATTGCTCTAATAGTCTGCAAAAAATAATAAGTCGGATCCAATTCGAAGATTAAGGAACAACGCAATCTGCAACATTAACTGAAATAGATAATTAGATAATTTTAGCTTACGTTATACATTAAACGCACACTCGTAAACGTATTTTGCGCACGCGCATACGCGTATTCGCAGCCGTAAAGGTCTTACGCACATGCGTCAACACGACGCATGCGCAGAAAGTTTGTAGCTTTGAGGTCCGGATTATGGGTGTCCGAATTAACGACTTTTGACTGTATAAGCTCAATAAACTACATTTTAAATCAAACAATGAAATAACATAAAAAAGGAAATTCACCATAGTACTATACAAAGGAAATATCCATTTACCTTATTTAACAATTTCCCTGTCTTCAGTCAAACAAAATTCCTTAACAGCAACCAAAAACTTCCTAAAATTATCTGAACTAGAATCTGTATACTAGCATCGCCACATAAATTCACAAAGATAAGAGTCAAAAATATCCTTCGTAGTGACGGGATCATCCGATGTTCGACCATACACATTTCCTTCCTACATACAGGACATTTATAATGCTAGTAAGTAAACTTTCATTTACACACCAGTAAATTATGCTCTTTTCTCCTTTCATTCCAAATCATACAGAAATTTCAAATTAATCTTACCAGCCATTTTAGCATCTAAACCAGAAAACAAGCAACGAACTTCCTAACCAACATCATAAGCACTTACAAATCTTTTCTCATCACTCAAATTCACTGCAATCACGCAACCAATTACATCATAATAGGGTTTCCATAACATCCAACTACTCAGGTTACCATAAATGACATAACAACTTCACGATAATACAAGGGGCACCCTTAAATCTATTCTAACCGTTGAATGATATGGAAACCATACAATGATGTAATTGGTTTCATTATTGTGGTTAATTTGAACGAAGGCAAAAGATTTGTAAAGGCTTGTATGTGTGTTGGATGTTGGTTATTTTGTGGTTTACACAGTAAAATGGCTGAATGCGGTAAGATTTTCTTACCGCATTCAGATAATTTGGAACAAAAGGGGGGAAAAAGCATTAATTGGCTGGTGTGTAAATGACGGTTTACTTAGTAGCCATCATAAGTGTGCTGTTTGTATGAAAGAAATGTGTATGGTCTAACATCCGAGGATACTGGCACTACAGAGAATACTTTTTACTCTTATTTCTGTGAATTTATGTGGCAACGGGAGTATACATATTCCAGTTTAGATAACTTTAGTACATTTTTGGATGCTGTTACGGAATTTTATTTGAGTGAAGACATGGAAATTTCTAAATAAGGTAAGTGGATATTTCCTTTGTGTTGTACTAAGATGAATTTCCTTTTTTATGTTATTTCATGTTTGATTTAAAATGTAGTTTATTGAGATTATATATTTTTTGTTTGGCTTTAATATATAATTGGCTGCTCCTTTGACTTTTTAAGTGAAAATAGATCAATGTGTACATAGACAACGTCATGGGAGATCGCAATACCAAGTTTGTACAATTCTCTGATGTTTTTGGGGGTCAAGAGCAGAATCGGCCACTTATTTGGGGCATTTTGTTTGGAGCTTTTTACGAGATTAACAAGCGTACCAATTGTGGTATCCAAGCTGATTTCACAGTTCTGGAAGAACGTTAATTTCGGAGCATTTTAACACACGGCATTATGTATTTTAAATTGAGAATTTCAGAGCATTTTCACACATGCGCAGTATATATGAGAATTTCTGATTGGTGTAGACGATAATAGATGGTAGAGGTGCAGTTATTTTAAATGAAAATTCGAGAACATTTTGAGAATTCGTGACTTTTCATGCTTCGGCTGAGCGGAGTGGATTACCTCTTTGCAGGTAAATTAATTCTTCTCTATATAAATTTTTACAGATACTCAATGCCTAACAATGGCTTCCAGTGATATTAGTATTGTTGAAAACGTGAATGAATGCATGCCTGTATGCTGAATATTCTGAAAGATTTTTTGCCATGTTGCCTGCAATCGAAGATCTGAATGTTACTAAACACACAGCAGTCGATTGGTACAATTTCTATAGGGAAACATGTATGCATATCATGGTGAGAGATATTTGCAAGATTGGAGGAGTGGGAAAGATTGTTGTTTGACTGAAAGTAAATTTGGGAAGATGAAGCATGGAAGAGGCAGGCCCGTGAAAGGAAGATGGGTGTTTGGAGGAACCGAAAGAGGATACCCACAGATATTTTTAGAGTGGTCCCGAATCGAACGAGTGCCTGCTAGCTTGATTGTAATTAGTCAATGGGTGTTGTCTAGCACCACAATCATTTCCGACTGTTGGGCTGTTTATAAATGTCTGGAAGGCAAGGGATTTCGGCATTTAGAGGTTTGACATATGTGTGCCCAGTAACAGGTGAGCATACTAATACCATTGAGGGTGTGTGGGTAGAAATAAAATGGTTTCTTGGAAATTCTACACATCGAAATGAAGAAATGTTTGATTCATATCTGCACAAATTTACGTGGAGAAAACGTCATGACCACTCTACTAAAAGTCATGTTTTCAAAGCCTTTCTTGCCAATATTGCAAGAATTTACCCCCTCACCACCACCACTTTAGGAGATCCAACGCCCGAAGAAGATGTCTGAAACATCATCCTCAAAGTATGTTTCATAAAATTCTTCTTCGGGCGTTGGATCTCCTAAAGTGGGGGGGGGGGATAAATTCTTGTAATTTTGCGATACAGCCTTTTTTTACATTCAGGTAAGTGAAAATATTTTCACTTTTTAGTGTTTTGTGATGATTTTAAGTGTTTGAAACTTACTATGCTTATGAAACGAATTTTAGTTTTTGAAATTATTATGTTTTTGAAAGAATTAGATTTTCATTTTTTAAAATTGTTTGCAAATATTTTAATTTTTCAGTGTTTTGTAATGATTTAAAGTGTTTGAAACTTACTATGTTTTTGAAATGATTTTTAGTTTTTAAAATTATGTTTTTGGAATGACTGAATTTTCATTTAAAAAAAAAATTGGAAGTATTAACTTTTCAGGGTTTTGTAAGGATTTTAACTTTTTTAAACTCACTGTGTTTTTGAAACTATTTTAGTTTTTCAAATTATTAGGTTTTTTTTAAAGGATTTCCAGTTTTTTAAAATTTTTTTATAGGTGAATGCATTTTAATCTTCAGGGTTTTGTAACGATTTTAAATTTTTGAAGCTTAGCTATGTTTTCTTAAGCATATTGTTTTTAAATTATGCGTTTTTTTTCAACATTTTTTTTCAACTTTTTTTGTATTAAATGTTTTTTGTACTTTATTTTAACTGTTGCAAAATGTCCCCAGGTGCGTAATGGCTTTTTCAAACCACGGACGCAAGTGGCGCAGTTTTGAAAAACGCACCAAGCAGTGCAGTGGACGATTCTGCACTTTCCCTGTTTTTTTAGGTGAAAATAGGTCAATGTGTACATGGATACTGAGTTTGTGCAATTCTTTGACTTGTTATTTTGGCTTTGTGTAGTGGCACAAAAATTACTACACAAAGCCAAAATAACAAGTCAAAGAGATGCACAAACTCGGTCTCCATGTATTGCCAAAAATTGCCATTTTTCGCCAAAGAGCACCCGTAAATATATTTTTACCTAACTCTCTTATGATTTTTCAATGCTCCTCACAACAGATTTCATATTAAAAATATTTCATGAATCCTTGGATAGCTTTACAGCTGCATCAGTTTTGAAAAAGCTACTTTGAATTGTCATTTTAGTGAATGCAAACTTCCATTTGCTGAATAATGAATATATAATTTCAACGAAAGTGTAAAATTGGGATACCATTTAATAAAATTTTAATTTTGTTAAGATTAATGATAGGCTGAACAAAGTAATAAGCTACATCAAATCTTAAAGTTAAGAAATAGCACAATTTACCCTGCTAGCTGAGCATTCTTCTTCACTGTTATGCCAACAAAAGAAAACCAGTATGTGAAATGTTTAAATAACAAAAAATATGGGTCTTCAGGTTTCATATATTGTGTACAAAGCTAAATAAGATCAAAAATACTGCTCCCACTACTACTATTCAAGAGCTGAAAGTGAAAATGTGATTCCCTAGCTGGCAGATATTGAAAGATTAAACAATATGTTGGATGATTCTGTATCAGTGCATGATGTTTCTCAACAAAAGAAATGCTGATGCAAAACTGATGCAGCTGTAAAGCTATCCAAGGATTCATGAAATATTATTAATCTCAGTTAACTGTAAGAAAAATTGATAGTAGTCTTGCTTCATTTTTAAGCATCACACATATTCCCTATTTCTATGTCGTGCATAAAAAAAAATTATAGGAGGTACTGATCATTCCAGTTAGTGGGCATCTGGAATTTGGATTTTGTACTGTATGTACAATGGCTCACAAAAGTGTTCGTACACTTAAGAGTTTCAGAGAATTATTGCTTTATTCATTAATAAAAAAATTTACGTGGATTTTTCACAGCTCTTCTAACTATAAATCTCTGATCACGTCAAGTCCTGTTTGCTGGACAACCTCTTCTTACTTTATTTTGGATCCGATTTTCTTCTTTAGAGCATTTTACTACATACTGCACCATAGAATGGGATGAATTTAGTAACTTAACGATGTACCGAATCAAATTTCAATCCTTGTGATAGAAAAATGATTAATTTTCGAATGGTGTTCATTGTTTCCTTACGACTACAATCCATTTTTAAACATTAAATAAAATGCAAGCAAGCAAAGCTAAACATTTTTTTTAAATGTCACCAAAATGCAAAAATTTTAAAAAAAGTGATAGATGATATTTTCATTTCCGAAATTTTAAAAAAATGTTTCAGTGTACCATCACTTTCGTGGCATGTTTTATCTATGCCTTCTTACATTTTCAATTTCAGAAAAGAAAAACAAGTCAGTATCAAAAGTGAAAAAGTTTGGTTTTATTCAAAATCACATGGAGATGATATGAAAAAATATTGGACTTTATACTCGAATTTAATTCTGGGTTATAATGCTTTTTCTCTAAATTCTTGAAATGTGTGAACCCTTTTGGGAGACACTGCAGCAAAATTAAATTTTAAGGACACTTCTATTTTCACCAATACATAAATAAAATACACTGTAGTCAAACCGTAAACTACAAATAATGATCCGAATACTCAGCACATCAGCTACCTTCCTAGAAATAGGGAATTTCCACCTCCTTAACTGTGCGCTCTTTGAATGCTAAACATAATAAAGAGGGATTCAAAACTTAAATCCCCAGAAATACAAATAAACTGTTTAAAATATCAGTGTCAAATGACAGACAGCAAACCCAGACAAAAGACAGACATAGCAAACCCAGACAATCTAAAAATCTGGAAATTACTATGAGACAAAAAGTGTTTCTTTAGAAAAAATTAAGACCTAAATACAGGCAACTGATTATTAACTTTTGTATAAAAACAATGTAGAAAATACATTAGACAAACTTAAAAATTTTAAATGTCTAATTTTTAAACATAAACAATCTAAAAAACTAAACATTAATAAGACATAATATATAATTAAAGAACTAAATAAAAATAATTATGTTAACAAAGTAATTAACTAGAAATTCATTTTACATGCAAATTCCTTTCATGTATTAAATCTTTCAATAATTTGTTTAAATTATGAAAATGGAATGGAATATACGAAAATAAAACAAAAATATTCGAAAGTACCGGTTTAAATAATACTATAGGTACAGCAAAATCAAACGCTTTGTAAACTATCAAGACATGAAAACAGCGCTTGTGTTTAAGATTTTACATCATAACTTTAGTACTAATGGATTTATACAAAGAGACTGAGACATAAAACTACACTTTCTCTCGAATGTTACGTAACATTTAGCCAGAGTTTCCCACACTTGCTCTGTCAGATTACGGCAAGCCAGCCTGAGCCCTTTTCCCGATTAATAAATAAAAATAATACTTCAGATAATAAAATAAGGCCAAAATAGTGAGAAGTAAGGCGGAGTTTCCCACAGTGTTTATACTATGTTAGTATAGTAATGCCCCGCCCTCATCTAACCCTTTCTCATACCTATGAATTTTAATTACAAAATACATTGTTACTATTTCATGTATATAAGCGCATTTTCGTCCAAATTTAAGGATAAAAGTAAAGATTACAAGCCTGGATAACAGTAAAAATACAGTATAAAATTTAAACTGAAAGCGTACATATAGTACTTTCACAATCAAATTCCATGCAATGCTCCTAACTGTCAAAATTTTGTGTTTATTTTATTCAATACATTTATATAAACAAATAACAAAAAGTATTAACATTATATAAATTTTGACGCTATTTTTAATTTTAAAATGATATTTAAGCATTTTATTTCTAAGATCGATATACATTTGAATTATAGGTGTCACACCTTAATGGTTTACATTGAGAAATAATGATGGAAAATAAAATTATTTACTTACTTTCATAAAACTCTAATACTATTACTATTTCGAGAAGAAATTGCTTTATCTTGAACTCATGAATTTCTAAATGATACACGCAAAGAACTTACGGAGCAGATCACTGAGCAGATAAAAAGTTGCCGGTAAGGAAGTTTTTTATCACTCGCACTAGCCGTGTGCTACGGTTATTCCAAAGAGCTCAAGGGTAGTTTCTCCTTGACAACACAATATGTGATATCAAACACAATGCACGAAAATTCCTTATCACGCACACATTTATTGCATTAGTGACATTCAAAATCAATTGAAATTAAGATGAAATCTTAGATGGATGTCAGTTATCCTTTGTTATTTTTATCTTTCATTCTAAAAATTTATTTTGTTTTGCTCATTGTTAGTATTACTTCCTCGAACGAAGAAAATGAAATATTCCAATCTAAAAAAATTTCGGTTGTCATTGTAATATTGAATAATTTGTAACTGGCAACATTTAAGATTTAATATTTAGTAACTTGTGACTGGTAACAATTTTCGATATATGAAAATAGAACTATACTGTATTGGAGGTCTCTATGATATAATACATTCTATAATTAAATAAATAGTTTCTAATAGCTTAAAGTGCACCCTCATTATTTTATATGGTGTCAGAAGTATTATGCTTCTCAATTTTGCACAAACAACATTTCTCACCCTCAAACAGAACACCTTGTTAACACCACACTAACAGAATTCCTTTCAAAAGCCACGCACGAACAACATTACTCCTGTCAGACCCTCAGAGGTCTATGGCTACATCGAAAAACTGCTGGTCAAGAAAAGCCCTGGCATCGACAAGATTTCCAACAAAATGATCAGATGTATGGGAATTCTCATGCTGCTGAAACTTACATCCATCATCAACGACATGCTAAGACTGGGATATTATCCAATGCCATGGAAGACTGCCATTATTGTACCTATTCTCAAGCCTGGAAAGCCTCCTGCAGAACCAGCCTCCTATAGACCAATTAGTCTTCTGTCCTCGCTCAGCAAGGTGGCGGAGCACATCATCCTGACAAGACTTCAAGCCTACATGGACCTAAAAAATGTCATCATTCCACAACAACATGGTTGGAAGAAACATTCCTCTGTCCACCAGCTGTACCGGGTGACGGAATACATCTCTCAAGGACTGCAGGAGCGGCAGACCACAGGTGCCATCTTCTTGATGTAGCTAAGGCCTTTGATCGTGTCTGGCTGGAGAGCCTCATGCACAAAATTATCTCTCTGGGTTTCCCAGTTTACATTACAGCCATCACATACTCCTATCTTAAGGATGGACACTTTGTCGTTCGTGTAAACAACACATACTCAACCTCACGGGCTATCAGGGCTGGAGTCCCACAAGGGAGCCTCCATGGGCCCATCTACTATAATATCTACACGAACGACATCCTACAAACACCACACACCACCCTGGCTATGTACGCCGACGACTCGGCAATACTCTCAAAAAATGCATCTCCTGGTCCAGTTATACAAGCACTCCAATCTCACATCCACACACTCGAGTCCTGGCTCACTGCCTGGAAATTCAAAATCAATGTGGACAAGTCGGAGGCGATCTGGTTTACGAAAAGAGTCAACATCGACTCGGAAGACTCCATCCTCATACCCCTGTACAGTGGACTAGCAAGCCCGATACCTAGGCATTACTTTAGATAGGCGACTCACACGGACCCCACACATTACACAGCTTATTGCCAAGTTCCGTGCTCGTAAACGAACACTTACCCCCTTAATTAGCCGGAACTCCGTTCTCTCTATTGATAATAAGCTGCTCATTTACAAAACCCTTTTGCGTCCTATACTCTCTTATGCCTGCCCTGTTTGGGGATATACCAGCCATACCAATATTAATAAACTGCAAGTCTTGCAGAATGTTACGCTCCGACAACTATCCAGAAGCCGTTGGTTTATAAGAAATACGGCCATTCATGAGGAGTTGGAAATTCCAACTATCTCAAATTACTTCGCACTCCTTGCAGAAAAAATTTTTCCAAAATATTCCTAATGTTAACAATAGTTCAATTGTGCCTCACTATGATTACTCACTTGATATTAATAGCAAGCGGTCGCTTGCGATACTAAGATATCTAAACTAATTCAATTTTTTATAACCTACTTATGTAAACACTCTCCCTTACTTGATGCTTTGTTTTGTTTTATTTGATTTCTTTTCATATGATTTGATTTGTACTGACTCGCTGCCTGACTTATTTTCTGTATATAGTGTACATATTTCCTACTTTATGTCTTATGTATTTTTTCCTTATTATGTATTATTTAATTTCCTATGGAATGTTATGTATTTATGTTTACTCAACTGTACTATGATGAATGGTCACACGGACTCTTATTCAGACTAGTGATAGGCAATTTCTTTTTACTACGCCATTGCACACTTACCTCCGTCTAAGGCATATCAGCTACTGGTGTTTCTTCAGGACTCATATCATCGGTTCTTGTTACGAACTCATAGTGCTCGAATTTTCTATCCAACTGCTCGATGATCAAAGAATCGAAAATCGCACACATCTTATCCCGGGATAGCGTTGTCACGCGGGAACCCACTTTGCGAAATCTCATCGAGTTTGCCTGAGCCGAAGTATTATCTTTTCAAAATGGAAAGTTTAAAACCACTAGAGCCGATATACATACATACAGATCGTATTTTTATTCTCGAGTGTCAAGATGTAGAAACATCTTTATATGTACTCGACTTCTGATAAGAATCAGGTAGGAGGGGACAGAATAGTGTGGGAGGCATATTCACAAAGCCTACAGAGAATTTCGCTACGGGCTGCTCTCATTGGAGGAAACATCTGCTTGGCGGTCATATTTGGAATGGCGAGTTATCGCCCTGTAAACGTGGTAATTAACGCCAAACAAACGGAAACAGCGTTTATTTCATTCAATATTTTTTTAGTTTATGAATGAAAGCTTAGAGGATTTGTGTGGAATATATCTTAAATAACCTACTGATCTTATTAATAGTTTATTTGTATTTGAATTTAAACTTTTAAAAGTACGTAATTGTTTTACAAGAAAAGGTGTTTATATTGAGGCAGCATATGCACTTTTTCGTTATTTCACTTAGGAAGAGTCTGTTGTGTAAATTTTCATAGTGCATTAATTTATACAAATAAAGGAATATTAAAAAATTAACCAAATGAAAACATTCAGTAAACATTTAAGGGTGTCGGATATCTATTCTTTTTACGAGTAAGTATAACTAAAATTATATTTTATTCCGTTATGCGCTATATCTATTGAAACGCTTTTCGGGATCTTGTATCGTAATCTTGCTTACTGGTACCTACTACAAAGAGTACAAAACAGTAAATAAAAATAAGAAAAAGTAACATTAACAAAAATAGAGAAAATAAAGGTGTTTAATTTTTAACACCGTACCCGAAGGCGAAAAGACAAATAATGACAAAGTTATTCAATAAAGTTAAAATAAAAATAAACCCGTATAGAGCAGAGTTTATGAAAGCAACGAGCGGGGATAGAACCGGCTACCTAGAAGTCCGAGAATTTTTCTCGGGCTCGTTACCACTGGTCTGCGGTTTCTCCGGTGGTTTATGCTCACTTTTTGGTACACGACGCTCAGATACAAATTGTAAAGGCGATGAACCAAAAGTCACCAAGCACTAGATTCTGTAACCCTACCTCTTTTAAACAATCGGAGTAAACAGCAGAAGAAACGGTCTGTAGGCTTTGTGAATGAGCGTGTGGGAGGCGGAAAAAGAGAGTCAGGTCCGCGCTAGCCGGGGCGAAAAAAAAGGGGGGGAGTTCAGTGTCGTTATAAGATGTAGCCGCGGGTGGTAAAGCGCAGAGTTGAACTGCGGTGCTTAACCACCAGGGTGCCTGGGCGCTATAGCCCTACCCCTCATCGAATAACATGATAAAAGTTTCGAATTATGAGAAATATAACTGAATGTGCTAAATAATTAAATGAGCAAGAGTTTAAATTCATAATTGCTAATAGTTAAATACAAATTTTTTTCCTTAAGTACCTAATTACTAATCCATACATAATTAACTATTTTTAACAACTATTTCACAGAAGAATACATGTACACACAAGAGAAACAAAATACTAAGTGCGACGCCTTAGTGCCACTAGTAAAAACAAAAAGCAAGAAAAAATAACAATATACAATAAAGAATCTGAGCAACAATTTGCATAACACATATACAAAATTACACATTACTAACATTTAGGATCGCCCTTGGGCGTTTACTGAAATTGGGGTCCCTAGTATCATAGCAATAGTTAACAACCACAGGATTGTCCAGAAGTTCCTGTTTATCATAAAATGCCCTAGATAGGCGGCAATAAAAATCAAAAAGATCCTCTATTCTTAACTCTTTACGAATTTGGCTATTCCGAATGTACCAGGGGGCATTACATATCATACGCAATACCCCGTTTTGGGCAGCTTGTAACTGCCTTCTCAAACTTTTGCACGAGTATGCCCAGACTGGGCATGCATAACTAAGAATTGGACGCAACATGGTTTTGTAAATGAGCAACTTATTATCAATAGATAGAACACTGTTTCGAGCAATTAAGGGGAAGAGTGAAGCTTTACTTTACTAGCTCGAAACTTCCTGAGAATATGTGTAACGTGTGGGTTCCATGTAAGAGATTTACTGAGGATCACCCCAAGATAAGGGACCTGCTTGACCCAGGGAATGTCCACACCATACATTTGCAGGTGAGTCGGGGAATTCTTCTTAGTAGTAAACAGTATGGCATGTGTCTTGTCGACATTCACTTTGACTTTCCATTTGGTCAGCCAAGTCTCTAGCGAATGGATGTGGTGTTGTAGCTGTTGTATTGCTGAACTAACAAATGCACTTTGCGTTAGGATCGCTGTGTCATCTGCATACATGGCTAGTGTTGTGTTGTGTGTAGTGGGGATGTCGTTCACGTAAATATTGAATAGGGTAGGGCCCAGAAGGGATCCCTGTGGAACACCAGCCCGTATAGGCCGGTTAGCGTGAATGAGTCAATTTAGGTTGTAATTCGATGTCACATGGGTACCGATGCTGCTGCAAAAAGGCGATTACGTAACGGCTCGGCGAACGTCGACAGACAGAGCTCCGCATTTTATTGGACTATTTTTTATTATTCTTGTTTTTCCTTTAACTCCGAACCAAGCGGGAAAATTCCCTTTTCACGGTCAGCGCTAAATCCGTATCCGTATCCGTATCATATTCCTGTGCACTAGTATTCGTCCCTAGGAAGGGCCTTTACTAGTATATATTTGTTGTACCCTTATTAAGGGATTCCTGCGAAGATTCTTCATCCGCTTTTCAAGCGGAAGGTACGTG